GCCGGGGGGCTGTAGACGCACCTGGCCGTGGATGTTGGAGCTGACGAAGACGGCGATGGGGTCCGGCCACGGGATGCTCACGTACTGGTTCCACCAGCGCGTCATCACGATGGACACGTAGAAGCCCAGCACGAACGACAGCGGGATGAGGTCGTTGAAGGTCTCGCAGTACTGCGTGATGTCCTCGAACACTCTGCCAACAGAAGAGCAGCGGCGTTGCGCGAAGCGAAGGAAGTGCGACCGCCTGCCCTCAGGCGATTGATCGGTTGATCCATCGATCGATTGATTACTGGTTCCAGATGCCTCAACTGCCAAAGTATTAGTCCCGTAAGTGTGGAGCACGATTTATATCGTGGGAGTCACCTTCCCCCACCCGCTGGACTCCGACATTCGGCACCGACTTACGTGGGCTTGCAGTGTTTTCCCCAACCAGGTATCTCCCACCGCCCCAGCCGGGACACGTTCTACGCTCCGGATTGCTATTCCGGCATGAGAGGTAGTGCAATGCATGTGAGGGTAAGTGTTTGTAAGGAGTGAGGATAGGGCAAGGAGGAGGAAGGAAAGCTTGCCTGCATTCCGTGGGCAGTTTGTTAGGGTACTGCTCCGGCATTCATTTGGTGTTCCGGCATTCGAACGGAGCAATCACGGAAAACCACCCATGAGACCAGCCGGCCGTCAGAATTCTCCAGACAGCGACTGAACTCGACCTAGTGTCAAAAATCCTGCCACCGTCGGAACTCTGGGCCTCCGGGTCCGAGGCACAGCATTGACATCAGTTGATACCCTGAGCCACCATTGCCAGCCTTTCCAAGCCTACTACTGGGCAATGATTACCTAGTAATTCTCCTTAAACGCACTCATAAGTCATTAAGCACGAAGTGATCCTCCTTGCACTATGTCGTTTGCCCATGATGTCACTGACTTTCGTCCTTATCGGCCGGGGGCACGGGGTCGCTATACTTCGATTAAAATACGAGGTCCGTTGACAGTTCGTCAGCGGAGACGCTGTCATCCACGGCGTTCAATCTCGCGATTGGATGACAGCGACACAGCTTGAACTGTCAACGGCCCGCGTGTTTCAATCGAAGTACAGCCTACGGCGCTCCCGTCCTTCTTAACCTCCCGGAGCGCAAGGAGCGTGGTCACGCAGTTCCGCCGAGGAAGCGGCCGCGCTCTCACTTTCTTGAAAGCGACGAGTGAAGATGGTCAACCCGTATCCGTTTAACGCGTTTTATTTTAAACGTGTTTAGCCTTTTCGCAGGACGAGATTTGAAATATAACTCTGCATATATTGCTGTTACACGGCATCAATTACGTACTGCATAACCCTGTTATACTGCAGTATTAATGGTATATTGTGGTACATTTCTGAAGTATCTCGACTTGATTGGAACTAAATTAAATAGTACAAATATTAAATATTTTGATGGCGTCTGGTATACAAGACAGAATGACGCTACGCTTCAATATATATTAACTATTTTTCGGTTTATTTTCTATATTTTCTGGTAAATTTTGATATTAAAATCAATTATTTACTTTAACCGATAATTAGAAAGAGATTTTGTGGTGTTCAAAGCTAAAAAGAAGAAATCAAAATATTGTTTCATAAGAACAAACGAATTTCAACCAGTAAGAGAAATAACGCATTTAAAGTTATCTAATACTATTTCTATTGTGAACAGTTTTATATTAGAGAATGTCTTTAGCGAAAAATATTAAAATTCAAAGTTTCGTCAAGAACGGTGAAACGGAAAAAAAGTTGTGAAATTTGTGGGCATCCAATAGATAAAGAACGGTCATCTAATTATATTCATGTGTTTGAAGCTTAGATATATTACATAAAACATACACATGTGTGCAAATTCTTACAATTACCAACAACTTTAACTCTGGCGCAATACAAAATACGCGCATGTGTCAATTATTTATTAAACTCAAAACAGAATTATATACGAACCACCTGCTGCAGGAATAATGCGTCGCGGTTTATAATCCTATGAACACAAACAACAAATATAATTTATTTTTCTCCAAGCTTTCATTTCACTTTCATTGCTGATGACCGTTTTTCGTAGAATTTTCTGTATTGTGGAAACAAACAAACGTTTCTATTTTTCCGCCGTCTTCCTACACTTTCAGTAGCGAAGATAGGATTTTTTTTGGTTAATGAAATCTGTTCTTCAAAATTAAATCTTCAAATGATGTTATGTACAATTTTTTCAAAATATGAACTTTCCTCGACCAAACTTGTGTAAAATAAACCCAATTAAAAACAAAGAACTTTTGCTTTTTGAGAAAGAGTGAGACAGTAAGTGAGAGTGTGAAAGTGTGTGTGCTGCGGTTTTCATCATGTTCAATCCATTTGCGCAGCATTGCATTCCCTCGCTTCGGCCCTCAATAAGATGGTCGAAACGTCGCCATCACAGCCGACGTGGACTCGCCCGAATAGCCGAAAGCAGTCGCAAGAACGGCCGCAGAAGCCTTCACATCACTTAAGGTTCTAGAGCCCAAGGGAGGACACTGCGGTATTTCGCGCGTTCGTCACCTAAGCCTAAAGTGACCAGACGTCCCATATTATCCGGGTCAGCCTCTTTTTTCAAGTCCCTTGACCCGTATTTTATGAGAGGAAACAGGACGCCAAAAATATCCTGATTTCGGAAAAATTACTAATCGGCATAAATTATCGTCAATAATTTTAAATGTATCATAATTTATTCTGTTGGGTTTGAATTAGTTTATAAAAATAGTAGCACCGTAGATCATACAACTGTACCATGTGACAATAGTTTCACAGACTATTGAAAAGAAGAATGAAGACGTTCTGTGGTGGTTTTAGGGTCGGAAAATGAGCTATCGCCTCTTTTGAGCTTGTATGTGCTTCAACGCTATTGTTATCGCTACCGAGGTATTCATTAATACGAATCTTCTGCATTTGTGAGTTTCTGTTCGATTTAGGAAGCAATCTTAAGTGAGGAATACGGCCAACTTAATAATGAATTAAGAAGTGCAAATAAAATAAATGATTTTTTTGTTTCTTTTTAATCTTTTATTCTAATGTTCTTTTCTGAGATAGTTTCTATTTTCTGATCATTTTTATATTAACATTTTCCTTCCCAAATACGGACGCTAGTAAACACCGTTTCATATAGAGCCAATCCAACAACATTGAAAACTGAAAACACGATTGAATCATTCAACTTGCACGAAAATCATTTGAGTTCTAGACAGCTATGGCCGGAACTTGTGAAATATTGACTTTTCAAAAGACGCTGTATTTCAATATTTTACATGCCACATATATCCCGTTTTGTCTTTTTTTTTTATTTTTTATTTTTTAAGGATGTATAAGAATGTCCGTTTTTCACTTTCCCATATACATAAGTATATTTGGAGTAAGATACGAAATACATGGAAAGTAATATAGACACCGACCCCGAAAAACGAGTTTTTTGAACGTCCGTCCGTCTATCGTATGTTAACAATACTAGCACCTAAACCATGCGTAGGATTTTTTTTTCAAATTGAAGAAACCCCTGTCCATTTGACCTGAGTCGAAGCTCTGCGATTTTGAAAATAATTAAGTAGTTTATGGGAGTACTATACACGAAGCCCCTGGGACATTTTCAAAATTTTCTCAAAAGGGGCTATAAGTTTTTCTTTAAATTTCTTCTAACAATATAGTGAAACACACTTATAAAGTTGGCCTAGGTCCTACCTTCACGGTCTTCTTTAAGAGGTTTGAATTTTTCGGGGCCTTCCTACAACTATAAAATTAAAGATAGAGATTTTTCCTCGAAATAAAATTTGTTCTCCATGGTAAGCACTTTCATGAAAGTCATGTAAAGTTTTTTGTTTTTTTTTTTGAAAATTTTAAGAAGTTTTCGCGCTTGGTAGGGATTTTACAAAATACATTCTATAAGATGACAAACGCCATATTGCACAATACTTTTTTTTGCTTAAAAAATTACAAAAATGTTTGTTGACTTGTCACTTACGTCGTTAATATTTACATTACCGCGAATTTGTTCACATTATTATATTTATGAGTACATGTGCTTTAAATAATGTCAGACAAAGCTTCTCGAAAACTCAACCGTTTTCTGTTGAAACCAGCTCCAAATTCCGCATTTTCAAAAACGCTCAAACGCTATTTTCTCAAAATCGGCTCCAAATTGTTTCGTCAAACGTTTCCAACAGATTGTGCTAATTAACTCTTTAATATGACCAAAGTTCTCTTCGGGGTATCTTTTTTTTTAAACCTACTCAAATGTACTTTTTTTAGTGTCTCTCACGCCAATAACACGCACATTTCCAGGAATTTCTAAACACTATTGTATTTGTGAGTTAAAGGGCTTCAAATTACTTTAGTAGAAAATTTTCGATAACTCAAAAATTTTATGTGAAAAAAATCTTCAAATTTCGAATTTACAGCAACTTTTAAGCGACATTTTCTTAAAAACGGCTCTAAATTCCTCAAAGAAAATTGCCATTTAAGACGACGTTTTACTGTTCTTTAATATTCTTAAAACAATAGTTAAGTTCTACTATTAAGAAGCCAAAAAATCATTTCTTTTTTAAATGAACTTCGGGCGGCAGGCAAAAATTTGTGGCAAGTACAAATAGCTGGCCGAGACTAAAGGAAATAGAAAAATAATACGGGAAAGTCTGTGCTATTCTGTTGTACCACTAGTTAGTTTTAAAGGTCTGGTGAAGTGGCGCCCCAAGGGCTTCCGGTGGAGGGAGGGCGACAGCGGGTGGCTACCACGGGGGGGGGGGTAATTAATACTAGCTGTGACCATTGCCATTTGAAAAATAACAATTGGAAGTTTCATATTCTCTTCAAACGGCATAACTACAGAGATTATGTCTTCCAATAATGAAATGTTAAACGAAGACCATTTATTTCTTTTGCCTTTTTTTGTAACAAAGAAGTTGAAAACATTTTTAATATTAGTTTTACAATAAATAATTGAGTGATACTTTTATAATGACAGTTTCGAACACGTACAGGGGGACTGCAAATCGATTGGACATTTCCAGCGAGCGGATTCCTACATGTATATATTTACATATATTTATTAGAACTAGACACCTTAATTTATTCTGAGACAAATAAGTCTAATAAAGAAAGAGATATTTTAAATATTTCCGTATAAGCGTATTTCCGCCATTTTATAATCTTTATCTATCACTCCATATTTTATACATTAATGAACAACTACAAGGCTAGTTTCAAATATTAAAAAATACGAATCTTAGGGCAGATTCTTGAAATGTACTATTGCAACATCGTGTATGCTTTCGATGGAGAAATGATAACTACTGTTCCTAGCAGAGTGAACTGACCAGCCAGTTCGGTCGCATGTTTGTGCCATATCGTGTACAAGGTAGGTCTACGTTTCACTGATAGCGTGAAGAAAGAAAACATTCGCTCCACTTTCATATTCTTCCCGATACCAATTTGAGGTCAGATTATGAGAGAGAGAGAGGAGAGAGAGAGAGACAGAGAGACAGAGAGAGAGAGAGACAGAGAGAGAGAGACAGCGACACAGAGCGAGACAGCGACACAGAGCGAGACAGAGAGAGAAAGAGAGAGAAAGAGAGAGAGAGAAAGAGAGGAGTAAGGAAAGCAGAGAGAGAAAGAGAGAGAGAGAAAGAGAGGAGAGAAAGAGAAAGAGAGAGAAAGAGAAAGAGAGAGAAAGAGAGAGAAAGAGAAAGAGAGAGAGACAGAGAGAGAGCGAGAGTTAGAATTAAGTCAAAGATAAATTACTCCTTTCAGAAACGCTATTACGTCATTCGGCCGCTACAAAATTATTTAAGGGCCTTAGCAGCCTCTATTATTATTTTAGGAATTAAATTTTTTAAAAATAATTTCAAATACTTTTACAGCTTGATTAATACAAAATTATAAATTAAATATTAATAATGATTTCCTTTTTTACATATTTTGTTTTTAATTATATATATTTTTCGAAAATGAATACCTATAAATGAATATATTACCTTTTTTATTAGATAAAAATCAGCTCACTAGGTATGACTGACAAGAGTATGACAACTGCAAAATGTTGCTTTTTTGAAGTGCCCACTAACGGATGAAAATAGAGTTTTGGAAATTTTTGTTATTAGCCTGTTTTAGTGTTTACAGATTTTTTGCTAAAAATTTATTTACAAGAAAACATTAAATTTGCGATATTCTTATTCAAAATTGTTATATTATTTGCTACGGACAAGATTTCTACATTGGTTAGTCTCATATTCCCAAAGTTGTGATTTGTCCATATTTGTTTTCTATTTTTTTAATACATAGAATTAACGTCTAGTGCTGCTAGTTGCATTACAGCGTCCACTGTTAATGAAGTGTTTTCAATACTGTTTGCAGTTTTCAAAATCGTTGGGTTGGCTGATTCATTTGAAATTCAGTGATTACCAGCCTCCGTATATCATAAGGAAAATGTTTAAAAGAAACAGAAAATAGAGCAAAAACAATACGAAAAAAGAACACAAAGGAACAAAGCAAAGAAAACAACCTACATTGTTTCATTTGCAATTTTATTCACTAGTCAGTATTCCTCAATTAAGATTGCTTGCCAAGTCGCACAGAAACTCATAGAAGCAGAAGGTTCGGATTATTGCATTTTCGGTAACGATATCCATATCGATAGCATATCGATATCGATAGCGAGAAAGCACATACAAGCTCCAATGACGCGATAGCACATTTCCCTTCCTAAAGCTCTCTGTTCTTCATTTCAATAGTCTGTGAAACAATTTTAAGTGGTTCATGGGAGTGTGATCAATGTTACTTTCTTATTAATTGATCCAATTACTACATTATATTTATCATATTATTAATTAATACAACGGTATACATTACGTTTAAATTTAAATTTGTTGACGGTCCTTTATGCGGATTAGTCATTGTCACAAAAACGGGACATTATGACATCCCGTTTTCCTTTTGAAAATTTACGGGACAGAGACTCAAAAAAACTGTCCAGGCTAACACGGGACGTCTGGTCACCTTCACTGAGCACACCGTCAAAACGCATTTCACAAACTAGTTTCACATGTCTCTTTGAGAATTGTTTTGAGTTTTGCCTTCCTCCGATTGCGTTAAACAAAGCAGCGCTTCCTGTGAGGCTTCCAGATGACACAAGCGCATTTGGCGTCGTTCGCGAAGCCCTGCCCTGCTGCGCCGCGCTGCGTCGCCCGCCTCGCGCTACAAACGCAGATAAACTGCATCCGGAGTCGTCTAGGCCGATAAACAATTCCGTTTCGTTCCAAACATACACGCGTCAACTGACTATACTTCGATATCAGGATCAAAAATTTGCTCGCAACGAGACACACTGCAAAATTAAACCAGTGGGGCTCTAACAGCACGTACCTGCTCGCTTCAGTAATGCTTACGGAATAATATTTAAACAGTTTTTTCCCTCCAAATTGAAACATCTCAGTCATTTTTGGTAAAACTCAAACTTTCGAAAATTGTACACGGCCGTATTTCAAAATTCATCTTTAAGGAAGATATTTCATTAAGGAAAAAATCTATATCTTTAATATTTTAGTTCTAAAAAGTTGCCGAAAAAACTAACTTTTGCCATTTTCGAAAAATCTGTTTTTTTAACGAACATGTGACCTGCACCATTCTCTTAAACGACCATCACACTATCCAATAAAAAGGTTTAACCAAAAAAATTGCTCAAGGGGTTTCATGTAGAGTACTCCCCGAAATTAAAGCTTAGGTTTCAAATTCAAAGGGCCGCGATATCAGCCAGATCCATACAGGAATATAAATTTAGGAGAAAATCGGTTGAACGGTTCAGCCGCTCGGGTTGTTGACGGACGGACGTTTTGCCGCCAATCGATTTGCTGTATCAAGGACTCACAAAGCATGGATTCTACGCTACGTGTTAGAGGAGATTTCGTTACCAGGGTCCGGCAATAATAGTTTTTTTGCCGAATATTCGCCTCTTTTCCCGTAGCATTACACAACTTCGTCTTCTTAGAAGTACCTTCTTAAGGACGAGAATGTAACAATACGCTTGTGGGGCTACAACAGCACATACATTCTCGCAGAATTAGTAATAACTTCGCATTATTTTATTACTACATGACCTCACTAAAGTGGCTAACTAAACCAGCGAATTGTTTTTCACGAGCCGAGGCTTCATGAAGTTAACTCGCAATGGTGCTTACCGCTACTCCACGCAGTCGTTCTGCCGTATTCACTTTTAAAAATCTACAAGGGGCAATCAGAAAGTAATGCACCCTATTTTTTTCAACTTAAATAAAATTAGTTAAGTGCAAAATTTGAATTTGGAGCAAATCCTCAAACCTCTTTCTACAATCCCCCGCAGTAAAAACTGTCTTCATCAACATGTGGCAGCACAGCAGTCGTTTGAAAAACGGCTGACATCAATGTCAGTGAAGGTGAAATGCGACAGATGAAGTGAGTCGCATTATCTTCTTCGTAAAAAAGAAGAAGCCTTCGTCTGATCGTGCTTGGCATTCACTATAGCATCGCCGTGCAGATTTTTCAGTCTTTGTTGAATGCGAATGGTCATGTCACCTTCTGCATTCAAGAATTCATCAAACGATGCGGTCTCTTACGAACATCTCTTACCAACATCCATTTTTCAAACGACTGCTGTGCTGCCACATGTCGCAGATAGTTTTTACTGCGGAGGATTGTAGAAGGCGGCTAACGAAAGAGTCCCAAATTCAAATTTTTCACTTAACTAATTTTATTTAGGTAGAAAATATAGGAGGCATTACTTTCTGATTGCCCCTTGTAGATTCTTAAAGAAAAAGTGGATAAATCCTGTTGTTAAATTAAAAAAAAAAACATTACACGTCGTGTAGCCAGAATCCATGATTTGTTGGATATTGATACCAAAAACACGATTGACATTAAAACGTCTGGCTGGCCAACGCTAGCGCCTAAACCGACGAACCAATTTCAAAATTGATACTCCCTTATCGACCTGAATAAAATCGTTGCTTTGACAATTTAAAATGGATATTTTGATTTGACGGTACTCCACATGAAGCCCCAAAAACAGTTTCAACATTTTCTCAAATTTGGCACCAAATTTTCTTATCCAACTTTGCCCCCGGATAGCGTAAAGATCGCTTAAAATTTAAAAAAGCGCAGTTTTTTGGGGACGTCTTCCTACATCTATAATATGAAAAATAGAGATTTTTCTCCTTAATGAAATCTGTTCCAGAGAGACTGATCTTTAAATACGTTCATGTTCAATTTTTCAAAAATATGAGAAGTTTCAGTGTAATTGTGCGCGAAATATAGGCATTTGTTCACAAAAAACGCTCTAATATTTTCTTTAAATTTTCTCATGTGTAATAAGACGCTAAACAATATGACGCTAGTCCCATTTTAGTCTGTTCATCCATTTTTCGAAAATGCCAAAAAGTTAACATTTGAAAACAACAAAATTGGAGATAGATTTTATTTAAAGCAGAAATCCCTGTTGTAAACAAATTTGCTCTTTTGAAAATGCCAGGTACAATTTTTTTTGAAAAAAGAAACAAAAAACACAGTTGATTTTGCCTAGTGTCCTAAAATAATGGAATTTCTAAAAAAAATATTTTCTCAAAACCTGCACGATATTTTCCATTAGTTTCTCCTCGTATGTAACGCTGTATTGTGAATAAATAAACTAATGGAGCTTAGAATGCGTAGCCTCGAAGGCGTAGAGGTTGTTTTTCTTCGAAGGTGAGGGTTATTACTTTCTCTGGATGGGGAGATCCGACGCCGACCTTCCCATCGGCTTATAGATTTTCCCCAACCAGGGATCTCCCACCGCCCCCGCTGGGACATGCTCCAGGTTTCCGACCGGTCTCGCGGCATGTATGGTAGTGTAGTGTATGAGAGTGTGCGTACACTTAAGGTTGAGGATAGGACAAGGAAGTGGAAGGAAAGATCGTGCGCGGTCGGTGGCCCGTTTGTTAGGGTATTGCCCCGAATTTCGCCTGGTGTTGATCGGAGGAACCACGGACAGCGCAGCAGGCCGGCAGACTTCTCCCTCGGACAATAGCTGATTTCGACCTAGCTATCTAACCAGTGTCGAAAATCCTGCCTCCGCCTAGCCTCGAATCCTAGGACCTCTCGGTCAGAAGCACTGCAGACATCAGTTGATGCCCTGAACCACCTACGCCAGTTATCTTATCCGACATTTTTTAAAAATACAATATAGGTTTTATAATTAACTATTGAGTTGTCCTTGAGTTGAAATGATTGTTTTCTTCCACTTTATAGTCTAATTTATGGCTGTATTTTCTTTAGGAAAGTCAGGGCTTAGGTGTTAATTAGGTCACATCAACATGTCACGAAAGCACAACCGGACAGTGACGGTGGGATAAGGAGGCAATTAATGCAGTTTTTAAAGCACCGGACAACTCGTGTGCCAGCACCTCGTGAATTGAATATCCAAATTGATGAGACAGCACTGGCAGAGGCACCTCATGTTGTCACACGCGATGACGTAGATGATTATGTATTGTTCACATGTACTGACAAGCATGTACTGCATCATTTGGGGGAGCAGGGAAAAACAGAATTATGGCACCAGTGTTACAGGTGTAAATCTTCGGCTCGCGCTAAATGTTCGGGCGGGGATGACCATCAAGCCAAGCACAGACTGCAGATTCGAATTTCGTATGTGAATTCCATATCTAATTGTTTCAAATGTTGGTGTGTTGAACCCTACCCTGACATCAGCCACGGCTATTCTTTTGAATTTTGTCAATTAGAAAGCGACTTCCTTCTTCAGGTTTTTTTAAATTTTTTTTAAAGGATGTATTCCATACCTTCATTAATGTCTCCATTCGTCATGTTAATCACTCTGTATCTATTCTAGAACTTTAAAAAAATATATTTTTCAACCCCTCACTGGCGGAAGATCGTTTTTCATTTTTTTCTGAAATTTAGGAAAGTGTTGATAAACGCTCAGATGAAAATTTCAATTTTGTAAACAGCTAGCCAATTCTAGCAAAAACTATTCGAGCCTTAAGTTCATATTACCCTCCCGCACTCTACACTAATAAAAATTGCACAGGTCGAACTTAAGTTAAATTCTCTAAATTTTCGAAAATAGCGAAAGTTTAAAAAAATTCCTGCAATTACCCAACACTCACACTACACGCATAACATAATGTAAGTTTCAGTATAGACTTTTATTAAAAGTAGCTTTAATAAATTTACATGAATTGCTTGTTTTATTATATATTAGTGTTGTGAATTTTGAAAATTACATTTCTGTCATTCGATGGAGTTGCAACCTCCAGATTATCGGGGCCCCAGCCGCCACTGGTCAGGACCGGCGAAACACTCGTAAAGTTTGTTGGCATATCGAGTAAATACAGAATAGGTACTAAATGAAATATACATTGCCCGTGGCCCTGGCATTCACAGCATGCGCTTACCAGAAACTTGTTAAAACAAAGAAACGCCCCACCACATCATATGATATGTATGGCATTTTTTCGAATACCAACTATATATACGACCTTTTGCCACGATCGTATAAAATGTGAGCTTCTACATGCTCTTACATGGGCGTGAAGTTAGTCTTTTCTTGAAACATCTGACAAACGTGTGTGTCGTCGCCACGCATAAAAGACTTTAACGCACTGTACATAAGTTACACGAAAAGTAAGAAAATGAACAATTCACGGCAAAACAACTTTAATTATGACAAAACCAGTAAAGAAAAATAACAAGTATTACGAAAATTAATAACTAATTAATACGAATTACGCAGTAACTAAAACCAATTAGTAACTACTAATGAATTACTAATTAAGAAAACCATTAATAGGGTATATTTTTTCCTGTAAATACATATTTTTATAGAAATAAGTTTCCTGAATTCAATAATATGTTTTGGAGTTCACAAGAAATCCTGAACGAATTAGAACACTTTTTTATTTTACATATTTTGGTATAATTAACACGCGATGGAACGCTGCTACGCTTCTGATTGATTGATAGCGATTCCGGCGCGTCAACTACTAAGATTATTAGTCCCGTAAGTGGTAGTGCACGTTTTTTCCTCGGGAGGTGGCAGTGACTTTCCCCCACTGGATGGCGAGATCCACCGATCTCCCGTCGGGTAGCGGGGTTTTCCCCAACCAGGTATCTCCCACCAGCGGGGCACCGCCCCAGCCGGGACGAGCTTGCTCCCGACCGGTTTCCCATGTGCGTTAGTGTAGTGCATGTTAGTGTAAGTGTGTGTGTGTGTGTGTGGGCGGGGTGAGGATAGGACGACGAAGAAGAAGGAGGAAAGAACGCGTGCGGTCCGAGGCTCGTTTTTTAGGGTTCTGCTCCGGCATTCACCTGGCGTTGATCGGGGAAATCACGATCAGAGCAGCCGACCGCTAGATTTTCCCTCCAGACAGCGACTGAAGTCGACCTAGCTGTGAAGCTAGGGTCGAAAATCCTGCCGCCGTCAGGAATCGAACCTAGGACCTCCCGGTCAGAGGCACTGCAGAGACAGAGACTTCAGATGAAGCTCTGAGCAACCTCTTCCAGCCTCCTACGCTTCTGACTGCCGAATCTTAGCCCTCGCTCTCTTCTTGGAAACTGTGAACTCAGTATATAGGATTAGCGTATGATTGTGGGGCAAAAGTATTTTTAATCAAGTACTTACTCATGAGACCACGCGTAACGCGATCGAAAACCCACAATGTTTTTAACGATACTGTTTTATCTCGTTGGATTGGAGGGGGATGCTTCCTTACCCCCACTTGAGGATCCCTAACATGCTGCACGGTATTACCATTTACTTGAGCACAGGGTCGTCGCAAACAGCAAATTCTACGAACGAATGTAATATTTCGAATAGAGCTTGTTCATTGGCTCGGTGGTCCGATGCGGGCCTTGGCCTTCTAGCGGTGGCCCAGCCTCTCGGCCAAGGGGTTCGTGTGGTTAGCATGAAGACATCCCTCCACCGTACATACTGGTCTTCGTAACATTAGGGTGGGCTTTGTCATCGTCACGCAGCAATAGACACTGGGGCATTTGTAAGGAAAGTGCAGTTATAATTTGCTCCGGCCGCGAATTGAACCCGGGGTTGCGCCGAGTAAACTAACGCTACCCAACGAGCCACCGCGGGCGGTGAATAAAGCTCTTAGTGGTGAAAACTACTGTTCAAATACTTTTGTACCAGAAGAACTGTCTTTCAGCCACTCCGAATCCATGAAAATATCTCATCGGACACGTTTTGTGCTCGGACAATGCTTGTGTCGAGCAGTTTCAAACACTATTAAAACGAATTTTTATTTAACGTATTTTCTGGATTTCTTAATATTTTGAAATAAATACGTACATGTTCATATTTTGATTATTTATAAAAATAAATTCAGTTTCCTACTAATTAATTATAACTTTATTGAAATATGCCAACAAAATATTTTACGTCATCTTCACAATTCCCTTTCCTACACCAGTTTTTCAAGTGACAACGTTTATTCATGATTATCTTTGGATTTTTCCGGTAATAAATTACTTACATGCATCTTTCGCAGATTCTATCAACATGATAAT